TTGAACACGACTGTTGGTTTAATGGGCAACTCATGCCCAATACGTTGTAATTTCGATTCAAAATGTCACTTACAGCCGATTTCACGTTCTTTATGCCTCTTACAGCTCCATCTATTAATACATTTGGGACTTTTTTTAATGCCGTACCGTTTTCCCCTTCTTGAAGTATCTTCAGTTCAAATTTTAAATCATTGCGACGAGTGGTTCTTCTTTTATGACATATATATATATATGTATATATATATGTATATATATATATGCATATATATATATGTATATATATATATATATATATATATATTTAGAGAGGGAGAGAGAGAGAATTGCAAGCAAAATTCTAGCATTACATTTTTAATAATACACTTGAATAAATTTTAAATACTCTACATTAAAGGCAAAAAATGCAGCTTTTCAAATATTTTCTTTAAAGTCTTCTGTTTTAAAGGCTAGAAGAGAATAAAAATATCTTAACGAAGATGGGTTTAAGTTTCAGAAAAATCCGAATTTTATAATTAACGGCGGCTTGCTTCATTAAAGTGTGCGTAAATACAATCACCCATGGAAAAAAAAATTCTAATTTTTTGTCTCAGCTCATTTAAACATTAAAATAAATATTTTTTCTGCCAGAACAATTACTCAAAGGGCACAGGTAAGATATATTTACCGTTAGTGTTTAGTAATGAAAAAAAAAAATAAACTGTAAATTTTAATTTATTTTTAATTAAAAAAAAAGAATGTTTAAATAGATTTTTAATATACTCGGTTTATTCATATTTTTTTCTAAACATTAAATTTTTATAAATATTCTATATACCAGGTGAGTATAATTAAAGTCCCGCTTTCAAATACTGTAAAAAATGACCGCTCGTTACAATGAATTTAAATTTGAACTGAAGATACTTGAAGAAAGGGGGAACGGTTTGTCATAAAAAAAAAAGGAAACATTTCCATTCAATTTTGGTCCATGGTGAATGGACTTTCCACTAATAGTGTCACAAGTGTTGAATGACTTGGAAGTCATTTTTACGTTAAAGACCCGAAACCATCAAGTACATTGAAAACTACAGCTGGTTTAATGTGCAACTCATGCCAAATACATTGTAATTTCTATTCAAGATATCATCGACAGCCGAATTCCCTTTCTTTATGCCGCTTTTTCAGCGCCATCTATTATTACACTGTGGAACCTTTTTTTTGATACCGTCTCCAGTTTAAATTTGAACTCATTGTGACGAGTAGTCCTTTTTAACAGCATTTTAAAAGTGGGACTTCAATTATAATCACCCTGTATATCATGTTTTATTTCTTTTTATAAGTATTATGGAAACAGACAGAATATATTAAATCTATTATTGGAAAACTTATGGAAATCTAAATGCATTCTTTTCGAATGGATATGTTTGCTTTCTCCATGCAAAATAGTATAATGTTTGTGGCATGCATCCTCCGTTTATACCATTAATGAAACCACAATAATTGGAGAAGGGCGATGATTTCCACAATGCTTAAATTTCTGATGTGTCTGTTCACTTTTTTTTTACAACACCGACCCTGCCCCAGTCATTTCCATGTTTTTCTTCACTTGCCAACATGACTTGATTTTCAATATTTTTACTGTAGTGAAATGTTAAAATCATTAATGCTAAGCTGATTCAATTCTCACTGCACTTCAATGCAAATATCAAGGAATATTAACCATATACAAAAATGCCTAAAGGTGAATGGTGACAAAGTGGAAAATATTAATGTATATACTCGTGTGATGAACTTCTTTTTTATTTTATTTTTTTAACTAACACCCTCTCGTAGCTCACGTTCGTAGCATATCTTCAAGCTATAAGTGTCCCCCTGGGTAGTACTAAATGAGTAACAAAGCTTCAGCCCTTGCTTATGGCATAAAGATTACCTAACATGCCAGCTACATTAGAACAACAACAGAACTAGACCTAATGGTGATTATATAAAAGTGCTACATCGGCTGTCGGGCTATTTTTTGGATACCTCTAATGAAATATGTAAATTGCTGAACTGTAAACTCTAAATGTCCTGTTTGAAATCATATCATTTAACTTTTTGTAAAACACAACAAAAGTATATAATATTTTATCTAACTTGTTCTATTTCATTGGCGCAGTAACCCCATAATGGGCCATCAAAGTCTGATACTGGCAGATTTCGAGATAGGAGATGTTTTCTTTTTACAGGGTAGGATAGTCAGCCCTACGCCCAGCACTCTACAGTCATGGGACTTACGATTTAAAGGGAACTCCGAACCACTACAAATGTATGCCAAAAATGACGTCTTAATCGGACGATTGGGCATTACACCCGGATAAATCCCAGTAGGCTCCTTTTTCTATTTTTAGTTCTGTATTAATGTATTTCAAACATTAATTTGTAAAAAAATGTTATTTGCTAGAATTAATCTTTTTTTATGTTATGAAATGTAAGGAAAACTAATTAACATAGATTTGATTTTTTGCAACAAAAATTCTTGAACACCTCAAACTAACTCATCCAAGAGATAGGTGATCTGATACAATTCTTTTTCCATCTAATGTATAATTAGTATAATTTTGTCTCTATATTTAAAAATTGGTTATTACTTACTAATGAGAGCGTAATTATTATTTTTAAAGACACCCGTCTTTAAAAAATAAAAAAGTATATAGTTTTTTTTTCTCAGTTAATAAATAATTCCAGCTATTAAAAGAAATATATTAGTGAAAGATATTAGTTTGACGTTGATCAAACGTTTTTCAAATTCATTTTCTTCATTTCACGAAATATTTTTTTAATTGCCAACTAGTGCAATAGAAATAATATATTTTTTTTTCTACTTTCTAAAAGTTTTGGTTGAATTTGAATTATATTTTCTAAAATATTATATAAAATTAAAAATTTTCTTTACTATTTCACTATTTTTTTCACGAAATAAATGTAAATGTATTTCTTGTACATTGATATCAGATACTTCTCTTTCTAAATGTTTAAAAAAAATCAGATTGTTTGGAAACACATTACAAAGGTAAGCATGTCTGTTAACTCTACTACCAGTCCTTTTTACAAACAAGGCAAATCAAATAGAGATAAAAGATTATTTTGCCATTGCTATCGTGGTTCGGTGGTCTAGGGGTATGATTCTCTCTTAGGGTGCGAGAGGTCCCGGGTTCAAATCCCGGCCGAACCCAGAATTAATATTTTTTTTTCAGTTAAAAAATAATTCCAGCTATTAAAAGATCTTAATCTTCTTAAATATTTAATAACTATTTTAAATATTTGAAAAATAATATTTATAATTAGGATTTCAACCACTTTTAATATTTTCAAATATTTGTAAAATAATATTTAATAACTAGTTTAATCACTTTCTAAACTAGTTATTTTACAAATATTTGAAAATATTAAAAGTGGTTGAAAATCTAATTATAAAATATTATTTTCAAATATTTAAAGATCTCAAAAATGTTTGAAATACTAAGCCAGTTTAATGTTTTTAATTGATATGAACAAGGAAAATTTAAATTATTTTTTAAAATGCATTATATAAATTTGTTTTTAATAATTTTAAATTCGAATTTTCATATTCTTCATAAAATTAATGGAAAAATTAAAGACTGAAATAACATCTTTTTCTCTATTAATTATTTTACTATCTTTTTTTAGTTATTAAATATTTTCAGCTATTTAAAGATCTTGAAAGTGACTGGATACTAGTTATTAAATATCAATTTACAAATATTTGAAAGTATTAAAAGCGATTGAAATTCTGATTATTAAATATTATTTTTCAAATATTTAAAGATCTTAAATATAATTGAAAAACAGAAACCAATTTAGTATTTTTTAATTGATGAACGAGGAATTTAAATATTTTTTTAAAATGTGCTATATTATATAAAATTTATTTTAATATTTTAAATTCGAATTTTGATATGCTTCTTAAAATTAATTGAAAAAATAAAGACTGAATTTCTTTTCACAGTTATAAATATTTTCAACTTTTAATGATTTTGAACACGACTAAATACTAGTTTTTGACTATAATTAAAAAATGTTTGAAAATATTAAAAGTAATTAAAATCCCAATTAATAAATATTATTTTTTTTAAATATTTAAATATTTTAAAAACGATTGAAATAAAAGCCAATTTATTATTGTTTAATTGATGAACGAGGAAATTAAATATTTTTAAAAATGTATTATCTAAAATTTGTTTTAATATTTTTAAATTCAAAATTTGAAATTTAAAAAAAAAGAACTTCAAAAAAATTTTTACGAAAAAAACACATTAAAAACATAAAAAAAAAAAAAAAAAAAAATTATTAAATTATGCAAAAGATTTATTAACCTTACTTAAAAAAATAAAATCATTTACATTATGAATTGTAATATCTAAATAACTCTTATTAATTCTTCCTTTAAAAAATATTGCATTTTTTTCTAAAAAAAAGAATGCGTTCAAATCCATTCTTGCAACCTTATATATTATTATTTAAGCACCAGATTTTTTTATCCGAAAATCATTCTGTAATATAAATATTTCATCTTTAGCGAGAGTAAAATAACTTTCAATCTTTTTTTAATTTTTATCAACTGTATTTTTTACACAAAGAATAATTTAAAGCTTAGAATATAATGCTTATTTAAACAAACAAAATTTAGCAAGTAATTTTGAAGACAATTCTCATAAATTTCTTACCAGATGGGAATTTTTGTGTTGTTTCTTATCCCACTTGGCTGGCCAATCCCACGAGCCCATACGTACTCATGATTGAAGGAGAAAGGAAGCAGCTTCTGTTGTGATGGAGCACCCGTAGGTAAAGTCTGACTTTGGCTCCGTGATTCTCTTACAGTCATAGGAGACCGGGACCTACGGTTTAAAGTGGATTCGAACCACTACAAACATCCATGGTACCGCGATTCGAACCCGAAACACTGTGGCACTGAGCGCCAGAGCGCTAGACACTCGGCCATTCAGGTCCCAAATTTGAATGCCAACGGCACGCTGTGATCTCAGGTGGTCACCACCCACGTATTGACCGCGCCCAATGATGCTTGACTTCGGTGATCTAACGAGAAACCGGTATATTCAGCATGGTATAGCCGTTAGCTGGGAACTTTTTGTTATTCTAATATGAGAAAAAAATTATTATTAACAATAAATATAACTACAGATAAGGAATTATGCATTTTATCCTTTTTGCTTAAATCAATAAATTTTGTTGCGGAGAAATCAGTACTTCTGTAACGAAATGAATTTTCCGTTCTTTCCCCAAATTACCACTTTTCTTCTACATAACTTCATCAAGGAAAAAAGAACGGAAAATAAAGGAAAATTAGATTTCCATTCAATCAGTTTTCTAGCTTTAGATAATCCGTTTAAGAAAAATAAGCTTCAAGTAACATTATGCATGGATAATATTCATTTCATTCTTACATTATTTAGATTCTTATTGTAAGACAAAAATGAACTTTTCAATAAGGGTTGTAATAAATACATGATATATGAAGTGTTTAAAGCTAGTCGAGTTAATTAAATTCTATTTAAGTGTTTACTTAGTAAATATTGGCATATTATAATTGCTGCTAGAAATATTTTACAACCTCGGATAAGTTTAAGTGCTTGTATTTTATGACTTACTTTTTGTGTTGTTTTTATTCAAAATATTTCTTTTCTTTATATTAATTCCGGTTCTTTATATAAAGCACTCGCCATTTTGAAGTACATATATCATTACACCAAGCTCAAACAGTTGTGTTGTTGTACCTAATCCTCAGTGTCTGACAGCAGTAGATGGCACCTGCAAGTAGTAATCTTCAACCTATCTAGTGTCTGTCAATCTGTTGTGTTGTGTTGTTGTACCTAATCCTCAGTGTCTGACAGAGGATGGATGTCACCTGTGCAAGTAGTAATCTTCCACCTGTTGTGTTGTTGTACCTAATACTGACAGAGTTTGACAGAGGTAGATGGCACCTGCAAATAGTAATCTGACTTGGCTCCGAGTCTCTGAAGAAGGAACGTAGTTCTTCCGGGAAGAATTTTGGGGTACTACACCGCATTTTGGTGTAGTATGGGAGAAAAATTTGGAAAAGTTACACCAGCCGGTCTGTTTAAAAAGAAGAAACTGAACATAACAAACGCCATCGATGCTCCTCGGTTTTGTATACAACAATTTAAACAGCGGATTGAACCTCCAGCCGTATTGTTTAACAGCAGCGCACATTACAATTGAGCCACGAGTCTCTATTGTATGTGTTACTTATTGTGTTATTATTTTTCCTTCAAAATATTTCTTTTCTGATATTAATTAGGGCTGTTGGTATAAAGCATTCCCCACATTGAGGTACGCAAGTCGTTACACCATGCGGAACTTGTTGTGTTGTTGTGCCTAATCTTCACCAGTGGATGGACACTCAATGAGTAATCAACTCATGAATGAAGGGGGGGTGGGAGGGGACAGCTTCTGTTTTGATGGAGCACCCATAGTCAGAATTCTGACTAGGCTCCGAGTCACTGAAGAAGAAGGACAGTGTTCTTGGACTATCAACGTGTACGTATCGTATGGGAAAAATCCGGAAAAACTCCCACCAGGTAGTCTGACTAACGTGAAAGATGTTGAGCATCCCAAACGCCATCGAGGGTACTGGTTTTTCAAATAGTGTCTACAACATTCCACCAGCTGTTTGAATCTCAACATTAATGCTCAGCAGCAGCGACGTTACCACTGAGGCATGGATCGGGCGTGCACAAGCTAGGTTCCATGCTGAAAAAAAAAAATGGATAACTGTTTCTGAAGGAAAAATTTCTAAAGATATCAATCAAGAAAAAGTTAATGCAAAATAATATGTTACAATCATCACCAAATCTATTATTTTCCACTGCACCAATAAAAATTACCATCAGAATTCGTCTTCGTGTATGCCTGTTAATTTTAGGTAGAACTAAGACATTTAAACTTCTTAACAAATGTAAGAATGATTTAAAAAAAAAAAAAACTTGAAATCCACTATCTATGAAATCATATAATATGTGGATATATAAAAATAATATAAAATAATAAAAAATATTAATTAATTAAAATTACATTAAAAAAAATTAAATTTGGAAAAAAATATATAAAAATTATAAAATATTAAATAATTAAAATAATATAAAAATTTAAAAAAAAATTAAATTTGGAAAAAAAAATAAATAAAAATTATAAAAATATATAAAAATAATTAAAATTAATGTATAAAAATAATTAAAATTAACATATAAAAGATAATTAAATATGAAAATCTTCTAAATTTGTGGAGGTGCTCTTAACATTTCATATATTTTTTATTTGCAATATTAGAGGGATATATACCAATAAACAGTCAATTAACACCATGTAGTAACATTTAAATAAAAAGCAAATGCATTCTTATGTTAGTAATAAAACATTGTGCTGTTACTGCTGTTATTAATAAATAATCGAGGAATCCTAATAGCATAAAAATTTTTATTCTATTTTTAAGGACACAAATAATTATGTAAAAGGGATGCTAAAAAACGTTAACGTTTTAATAAAATTAATTGGGTTCGGCCGGGATTTGAACCCGTACCTCTCGCACCCTAAGCGAGAATCATACCCCTAGACCACCGAACCACACAAACACAACCAACGAAAGCAATGAATTATGAAACTTTTACTTGATAGACCTATTAAATTGCAAAGTTTTATGTACCATCTGAAAAAACAAAGCATCAATTGGTTAATATAGTATTATGTCATTGGTTTTCTAGGTTAAACAACTATAAGACATGAAAGATTATGCTCATGTGTGCATAGCTTCATGATAATACTTTTAACACAAAGTTTTACGACTTCAATTTCCTGTTATGTATAAAAATCTGAATTTAAAAATTTTTTTTTTGATGCGTTTGGATTATATTTGAATTTGTATATGAAAATAATTAGATTTTTCAATTTGGTTATGAATAATGCAATAATATTTTTTTTTGTAATTATAACATTGAAAATTAGAAAAAGACAGTTTCGTGAAAAAAAAAAATGGCGTATTTGAAACAAGTTTTCCTTGAACATTTTTCGTGAATTGGATAAATTATCTCTATAATAAAATGCATAAAAATGTAAAGTGTCCATGACTGAATAAGAATTGATCTATAAATATTGAGACATGAATATGCCACAAGGATAAATATACATTTTAATTAAATTTTTTTCTTAAAATGAAAGTATTATACACTAAATAAGGAAACAATTTTATACACTAAATAAATTTTTTTTATAAGTTTCCAAAAAAGTAAGCTATTGCACAATTGTCTTATATTCTACTAAATTAAAAAATTCATTTAATACATAACGAACAAATATCCTTGTATAAATGGTTTGTAATTCCAATATGTCAATTTCAGCAAATATTTAATTGAACTAACACGGTATCCATACATACATGAACTAATTAGCAACCTGCATTAACACCTATCAAATCCATAGCTGACGAATCCTAATCTCCCAGAGCAATTAATTACCGCAACTCCTCATCTGTCTAGGAAAGCGAAGTCAAATTTTACGAGAAAGTCTGTTTCGCAGTAAAATCCGGCACACTCTTTCTTTCATCCGGCTCTAGCCGATGAATGCATCCGGGAAAGAGCCTGTCCTTGACGGTGACAAACGTCTTTGTGTCACTGGAATCTTGAGTAGAAGGATTAACAGAAATTAATGAATCACTTTTACGATCCGCAGTTAAGATGCGACATCCGCTTTCTTTCAAGTCTTCCATAGAGTTAACGAGAGAATTCAAATCTGCATTATCAAAACTCACAGTGGTTCTATCTATTAGTAGCCTAATTTATTTCTTCAACAAAGAAAAAAATTGATTAAATGCAATGATTGTAAAATGAAATATTTTGTTTGTCGTCAGTTACTTTTATTTATAATTGGCATTTATAATTGGACTTAAATGGAAAATTGTTTCGAAATTGTCTTAAAAACATGTAAATAATAAGATAAAAAAACTAAAATCTGCTCGGAAAATTTCAACTTATCATTTGTGAACATTCGAAAACAGATAAATAAATTCAGGAATATAACAATGTTTAATAATGCAGGATATATATGAAGCAATTGATGGGAATACTACAAGAATGGTCGAATTCAATAACCACATAGAATATAGCAATGTTCAATAGATCAAGAACTGAGAAAATGAATGAATCAAATGAATCAAAGAATGGGTTGTTAAAGAATCTCTAAAATAATATACAAAAGTAAGATAAGTAAATGAATAATGAAGTATTTCTAATTCTACAAGAAACGTTATCACATTTATTAGCCAAAAGAATACATCAAAGTTTGAAAATGCTAAGCATAAATGAAGAATGAAGTATTCCAAATACAATAAGAAGCACTATACAGCTCAATAGGCATAGGAAAATACCAAAAGTGATAATTATGAAACGTTGAAAAGAAGGAATTGATAAACGCACTACGAGTACTTATAACCATTGGAAATACAAATGTTTAAAATCCCAATCCAAAACATGAAAAGTGATCCAAAACCCTACTACAAAACACTTCAAGCAAAAGCCAAATTCTCCAGGTAATTCCTGAAGATTAACTTTACTCATGAATCATTTCAAGAGTTAAGGGGCCCAAACTGCCATTTTCCACCAAAATTTGCAATGGAGTTTTATTTGCTTGACCCTCATTTTCGGATAACGTCACGGACCCCTAACCAGGACAACATCATGTTCACACATGATAATAAATTTCATAGAATGTGAATTGTTTATCGGATCAATGACCAAGCTGCAAGAGCCTAATTTAAATATTTTTTAGCCCTTATTTTACGATGTATTTTATATATTAGTCTGGTGAATATTTGGAGACACGCATAAAATTATTACATACATAGTTGACTATAAGAGAGAATATTCCAGAAGTTCTTAGTATTTGGAATCCATAAAGTTCTATATTGATGAGAACTAAGTGTCTTAAATGATAGGGAAATCTCTAATTGTTTAATAGGGTGTTCTTACAAAAACTATATCCATGAACACTCACTATCTTTATTATTGCTCAATGCACATCCTATAAACTTTCCTATTACCCACTGT